GCTCCATTTTGGGGTTGTTGGTTGCCTGTCGGTTCCTTGGAGCGTCGGCCTTGCTGTGTCTCTGTGTGTTGTGTGGGTGTGTGTCTTTTCCTTCCGTCGTCTTGTGCCGCGCATCTGTCTGGTTGCGCGCTATGGTATTGGTGGCGCCTGATGTTCGTGTTCGGCTGGTTTGCTGGGCTGTTTCTCGTATCTGTCTCTGGTTGGTCGGTTTTTGCGTACGTGGCGTCCTGGGTATTGTTTTGTGTGGTTGGGTTCCTGTCAGTTTCCAGTCCTGCAGGGGTGCTGGGGGCCGTATCCTTTGGTCTTTATCTTTGCGTGGGTTTCCTTTCCTCTTTTACTGTTGTGTTCGGTCCTCTGTTGCTGTGGTCTGGTGTCGTCGTTCGGGGTTTTGTCTTTGTCGTGCCCGTGGTTTGTCGTCTGTCTTCTGCCCCTCCCGGGCCCCCCGTGCGGTTGGCTACTGGACCTTATTGATGGCCTTTCTGTCTTCCCAACACGCAAAGCCGCGCGGGGACAGCGACGGGGCCACAGGCACCCGTGCGCACACACCCGGCACGCAGAGGCGCCAAAGGCCATCCCGCTCTCATCCTTCCACCCCATGCTGGTGCATCGGGGCATTTGCGGTTCGTTCTTGCTCGGTTCTTCGCTGTGGTCGGGCGGTCGCGCACCTCCTGGGGGGCCCGCTCTGCCTCTGGCCCGCGCCCGTGTGTTTTTCTTCTTTGTCTATTCTTCTTCCTTTGTGCGCTTTCTTCCCCTGGTTGATAGGTGCTCTGTGCCTCCCGTGCCTCGGTCGCGGTGATTCGCGTGGCTGTGTGTGGGGGTGGTGTGGCTGTCTGTCTGTGGCCTGGGTGCGTTGGCTTTTTGTCCTTGCTTCTCCTGTGGTGCCTGCCTGCCGGCGTGTGCGTGGCTGTGTTGTGGTGTGTTTGGTCCCTTTTGGTGTGGGCCCTCCGGGACCCCCTGGTTGTGTGTGTCCTGTGCTGTTGGGCTGCGCGGTGTTGGCGTTTTTTCTGGCTGGGGCCTTCCTGTCCTGGCGTGCAGCGCTGCCACGCTGCTTCTGGTGTTGCTCCCGTCTCTGGAGTTGCTGGGTCTGGTGCCTGCGATTCCTCGCCTTCTTGGGTTGTCCGCTGGGTTTGCTTTCTTCGGGCTGGTGTTTTTTTGGGTGTGGGGACCGGTGGCGCCTCACTGTGTGGTCCTTCCGAGTTAGGTCTCCGTCGTCTCCGGTTCGGGGGTTGCTGTTTCCCTCCTTCCCCCGCTGGCTTCTCTACTTCTCTTTGCTTGTTTGTGTTGGGGTTATTTTCCTGCCGGCCCGCTTGCCCATGCTTTCTGACGCCGTCTCCCCCCCTCGTCCTAGCCGCTGTGTCTCTGCTTGGCGGGTGGTCTGGGGCCCGTCGTAGGTGGGTGTGGGCCGGCTTGCTGCGCCCCGGGACGTTCTGTCGTCGCACTTGCGCTGTGGCTTGCGGTGCTGTGTGGCCTGTGCGGCCGTGCGCCAGGGCGGGTGTTTTTCTGACCTGGTGGCGGCTGTTGCGTTTCTCCGCGGTGGCGCGTTGTCCGCTTTGCTTTTTCGCACTGGGAGGTCCTGCCGGCCTCTTTCTTTGTTTCCTCGGCGTTGGATTCTCCTTTTCCGGCTTGGCGTTCTCGCCTGTCTGTCCTGTGTCCTCTTGGGGTCGCGTGCCTGTGGCGCCGGTTGCTCGGGTTCCATTCCGCTTGGCGGACAGCTTGTTTCGGTGGTGCGCGTGTCGCGCGGGGCTCCTCGCGCCGCGTCTCGTCTTTTGCGTTCCGGGTCGCGGCAGCGCACGCGCTCTGGCTGGGTCCGGGGCCGGGGTTTTTGCTGTCTGCGCGCTCTTGTGGTCAGGGCGCCTTGTCTTTGCGTTGTGTGTCCTACCGTGCTGTCCTGTGCTGTGTGCTCTTTCCTGACTTTCCTCGTGCTGTCGTATGTGGTCCCTGTGGGCTCGGCTTCTGTTTTATGGGGGGGGTTGGGGTTCTGTGTTGCTACCCCCTCCCCCTTGCCCCCAGGTGGGGTTTTCGTTGTGCTCTCTCTCGGTCCTCAGCAGGTTCCTGTTGCTTGGCCTGTTTTTTCCCCTCTTTCTCCGTCTCCTCTTTCGTCTTGCATGTGTTTCTTTTCTCGTTTCCTTGCTGCTATTTTTCCTTCTCCCGTTCTCCCTCGTGTCCTGGTCCCGCCTTCCGTCGCCCCCCACCCCGGCAGAGAAACTTTACACTTTCAGCAGGGGAATTGTTGAAAACAAATCAATGCACATCATCCATCATTCTGCACAGTGAAGATCATACATCACACTGTATGAATAAGAAACAATGAGTTTTTACTGGAGGGGACTTTAAATATTTGTAACTGTTGGTTAAAATGAAAACGTTCTGTCAGATAGGTAACAGATTTGAAGAGCGTGACTAAACTAGGTTCCGTGTTGACACCCTGCATAACTCCTAAATGTAAATGAAGATATAAACTTGTGATTTTATTGTGATAAAATGAAACCATAAAGGGAGAAACAGAATGTTAACAGACAAACCATCAATAATGTGTAGGAATGTTTAGTCGTTTTTGTAATTCAGCTTCATTCACTGATTGGTCACTCTTCTTCTTCCAGCATGTGGACTGCAACCAGAATGGAGAAGGGGGTAGTGTGTGCAGCAGCAGCAGCAGTGTTAACAGTGTTAATATGGAGGACATGTCCCTGTGTCTGCCTGCCATTCAGAAGTTGGTGGAATATATTAAGTTCAACTTCATGGAGGGTGACACAGCTCCATCAGCCAACCCCTCTTCCTGCAGGGAGGGGTTGGATGTTGAAGTTCAGGCTGTCTCCATCAGTAAAGATGAGGGTGATAGTGCTGAGTTTGGCCTCAGCTTTGGAAACATTCCAATTTTTGGGGATCCTGATGGAAGAAAGAAGGGAGGCCCTAGGAGGAGGAGGGATCAGAGCCCCATCGTGGATGTGGGCTGCATCTGGGTTACCGAGGTGAAGAAGACGAGCCCAGCAGCCCGCTGTGGGGGGATCAAACTGAGAGACGAACTGCTGTCACTGAACGGGCAGCTGATGGTGGGAGTAGATGTCAGTGGAGCCAGGTAAGGAAAAAGGACACTGATTGGTCTGTAACCAAAAGCATAGACTAAAGGCTAGAAAGATGGATTTTTGCATGATTAAACTGCCTTGCAGGGGGGTAAAAGTTTAAGTGCATTTGCAAAGCGATCAGTTGTTGTTTATTTAAAAGATTAAATACTATTAAACATACATTAAAAGTAAAATAAAAAAATTTTATGGCCACCCCCAGGCTGCTGGAATATTACTGTTTATGTACAGTTTCTCTTTCTTTTTTTACAGTTTGACCCAACACTGTCTGTATGTAATGACAACGTTATCTTTTTTTATAGTTACCTGGCTAACCAGTGTTGGAGTGGAGGATGTATCTACCTGATAATGCTGCGGCGAGTCAAGCGAATGGCTCCTCCCCCTCCCTGTGATCTCAATGGCAGCATCGGTACCCCTGTTGGCAGAGACAGCTGTGAAGAGCGGCAGCAGGGCAGGGCTGCCTCCGAGTCCTCCAACAGCTCGGCAAACTGCAAACGCACACGCAAGTTTGGTGTCATATCGCGGTCGTCTTTTAACCGAGACACCCGAGACAGTACTGACTCAGAACTCCAGAGCTGTTACAACGGCTACAACTCTTCTGTTCCCACTGAGGCAGGGGTCAGTCCTGCAGTAGATGACTCAGGTTGCATCTTCTCCACACATACACCCACAGAGGAAAGCCCAAATGCCTTTCCTCAGGTGAGAACTGTTCCCAAACGTCTACACAGAGGAGGCACCGCCACCCTGCCCACAAGATGTCACAGTCAGCTTTTAGAATCCAAAAATGATTCTTTCAGCAGTGAACCTTCAAACCAGGTAAGACGCTGCTGACATACAGGGCTCTGACTGAATACACCGGGACAATTGAAGGGTCATACTCTCTCACAAACCTTTGTTACAATAAAATGCATTCAATCAAGAAAGGAGATCTGGGTATGTTAAAAATCACTCGATTCATTTCCTTCTAGTTCAAACCTAGTTAACAATGCTCATTACTCAGTGTTTAGACTTAGACGTTTAGACAATTAGTAAGTTAAGTAGTCTTCACTAGTTGGTATTACAATCTGAACTCACTCAGGCACCCCATTTACACCTGATCTGTATCCAGATAAGAAAACATGCATGTTAATGCGAGGTGTAAATGCGTTGTCTTTAGCTAACATAAAATAGTTGCTCTAATCTAGAGAGCGAGCAAGTGAGAAGGCTGAAAGAGACACCAACCTCGATTAACCTGATACAATGTCTCTGTGCATGAAAATCACCAAGCACGTTATTCAACAGAACTGTGTAAAAAATAGAAGGACACTACACACCAGTACTGCAACACACAGAGACAAGCTGACACAATTTTTAAAGAAATAACTTTTTACATTTGCAGAATTCAAAAGAGAGGACAAATAACTCATAATTTGTTGTAGACAGCGTTTCCCCTAACTCAAAAACTCCCAAAACTCCCACAAGTTTTGTTCCAGTAGACAGAGATCAAGTCTCAATGGAGATAACAATAACGCATTGAAAATACCAGGTGTAAATGCAAAGGCAAGATTTGATCATTCATTATCTGGAGAATGTGTCCAGATACCGATAGCTTTTTAATAGCAGATGAAAATAGGGTGAAAGTGATGTGTGTCTCTATTACACTTTCAAACAGGTCACTTCTTGGGATGAACCAAAACACTATCTAATTCTGCAGGTCTGCAGAGGTTGTGGGATAGTGGATATACAGAGCTCAGGACTTTGACCCCAGAGATCAGAGATCCTATCCTCGCATGCAGCTATATTTACACTACTAAAATGCTTGGTTAATATTAAGGAGAGATTGTGGTTTCAGTGCTTTGAGTTTTTTTTCTTTTTTCTGGTTTTAAACAGAAACCTAAAACCAATAGTCATGTTTTAGTTTCCAGGAGTAGATATTGTGGGAAATCAAGTGAAATACATTGACAGGGAACGTTTTTCAGAGATGTCTAAAGAGTTTCTATTTCTATATATATTTCTTTGCAATCCTTTTCATCAGATCTAATGCCAAGGAAAATAAAATTACGTTGCAGGAAACAAAGAACATTAAAGGTACAGAGATGTACCGTACTGCACAACAAACTGCAACAAACATTTGACTGCCACTAAGTTGCAAATAAGCACACCACATGAAATGAAATGAAAGTAGACATTTTGCAACAATGTAAATGTTGGAACATATACAATATATCCTGGCAGAGTATTCCAACATCTAGGAGCATAATAAATGCAGCATCACCAACTGTTGATTTAACTTGAAGCAACATTCCTTTCTTAGGCCTAAGAGGACAGGCACAACAGATGTACAGTACTGTGGCGCAAGGCCACAATGGAAACAGGAAAGTAACAGGTCCCCAATGGGAGATCTTGGAAGTCATGTGATCAATTTGTGTCTTTCTACTTAAACATCTGGCTGCAGTATTTTACAGTGCCTGTAATTGACACACATTTTGTTTTAGGTAGATTAAATTGAAGATCAGCATCAACAGTTTCCAACTGTGTGGGACAATGTAGAGACAAGTAGAACATTTCCTGATGCTGACTGACCACCAATAACAGCAGTCTCTGCTGCAGACAGGTGTGGGACATCCAGCTACTTTTTATTTATTTATTATTATTTATGGCATGATTATTACAGATTTTATCTACAGACACAGTCAAGAGAAGAACTGTATGTAATCTGACTTTCCACTTCCCCCTCCATGAAGTTACACAGTTGTGCAGCATAATAAGCAGTACAGTTATAAATATGAAGTCTTTCAAAATATATAATCATGTAGTAGTATAGAAGTATAACGCATATGTCCAAGATCCTGCCGGAGGAGAGTGTCTCAGACAGTCTGTGTCCAGGGCAGGGGGGGTCGGCCACAATCTTTCCTGTTCACCTCAGAGTCCTGAAGGCATACAGGTCCTGGAAGGGTGCCACATTGCAGCCAGAGGGGAAAGTACACAGCCTTCAGGAGATCCGGTGCTGATGGTCCTCCCCAGTAGTTCTCCTGAGAATAGAAAGAGAGAGAGGCAGACTTAACAATCATCCACCATCATAATTCAATAGCATATGCTCCCCCTTCCATCAATTGAGTTGACAAATGCATGTTTAAAAGAGAAGATAAAACTATACGTGACCCATCCCACCCTGCTCAGTATGTTCATTATGTGTTTCAACCTCTGCAATCGGGTCTCATCCACCAAAACAATTTGCTTTAAGAACAGCTTTTTCTCTGCTGCAATAAGAACTCTTAAGAATTATTCATTTCTAACTCTTGCATCTTGTGGTATGTGCAGCTCTTCATTGTTCAACCCCATTGACTTTTTTTTTTACTGACAGTATGTAATTAGTGGAC